ATCATACAAGGCTCAGATCTAGGACTTGGAACTCAGGAATACTTCCAATTCAATGTCTCTTCTCCAAGCTGAGGCAGTCCTATGCTCCATTTTGACAGGAAGTTATCACAGTCATAGTTGCCCTGTTCCCTAAATTAAAACTGAACAGGACTCTGTGGGGTGGCGACTCTGGAGTACAGATCTGCTGTGTGTTCTCCATTTCTTATCTGTAAGATATAGGCTTCATTCAGCCTCCTTGACCTTCCCTGAGTTCCAAAGGGTGGATTCAAACAATTGCTAATCAGGGAAGGGGGGGAATACAAAAACAGGGGAAAAACAATCAAATGGTGGTACAGCCTTGAGACAGGGTCCTGGTTCCTACTCAAAAAAATATACATAACAATGTCTTTGAGTTCTACAGAACTGGAGCCGCCACCCAGGTGGAGGATGGTAACTTCAGACTAAACACAAGATTCCTGGAGCACAGCTCTGTTGCTTCACCACCAGCCAATCAAAAAAAAAAAAGTCACAAACCCTGCAGCCCTCACCCCAAATGTTGCCTCCTGTTTCTGGGGACCAGTGATGACCATCCTGTTAGGTCTCCTGTTTGGCCCCTATCTTTCACCTCTGAGAGGCACCAACAGTTTCAAACTAAGTTGCTGTTATTACAAGAGTGAAAGCTGGGTTCAGATATGGAACACCCCAACTTAGATCAGGTAGAGAGAGACTTCTGCTCTGCTAGGCAGGCCTACGCCCAGGCACAGCAGGAAGAAGTTACAGAAGAAAGAGACCTCCGCCCCAAATCCCAAAAAGCATCTTGAGTATGAAGTCTCTCAAGGGGGAGTTGTTAGGAAAAACACACTGCCTGTCCGTCCACCTAATGTTACTCAAATCTCAATATTCAACTGTCCTCCACCCATGATTGGGCCTTCCATAGAAACAAAGACAGGGGGGAATGTGGGGCTGCCGGGGCTGGCAGGCGGCCCGGACCTGGGTTTCGGTTTCCCCTGAAATGGTGGGATTCCCCGCCCCCATCAGGTAACCTGGAGCCAGCCAATCAACATGCGCCTAGCAAGAAAAAGGGAACCTATCAGGGGAAAGCTGAAAAGCCCGCGAACGCCCAAGTTTGAGAAAAGCCCGCGAAGGTTTGGGCCAATAAGATTACTTTGCAAACATGTAACCAATCCGCTTAAGCCAGCTACCAGCTGCTTATGCACACATTATAAATTGGGTAACAGCTTGGGCTCAGCGCTCTCTGACCCCGTACCACTGCGTTGGATGCGCGGCAGGAGCCCTGACTCGAGTCAGCAATAAACTTCCCTTTTTTTGCAAAAAAAAAAAAAAGAAAAAAGAAACCAGGGCACTGCACTGTCCTACACGCCAGTTACTGGGGTCCTGTAGAGCGGAGTGGTTTATTTACCTGGGGCTAGGGTCTCATATATAGTCTCTTCTTATAATGAAGCCACTTAACAGTTGCTGAGAACTAATTGCTTGTGAGTCGAGACATTTTATGTACTTGATATTATTTCATAGCAGACCTTTAATGTAAGTGTTACTGTTCCTTCTGCCAGATGAGCAAACTGAGGCTGATAAAGGTTATGTAACATCCTTATGATCACATGGTTAGTATGAAGGTGAGCTTATAATTCAAATCCAAAACATTCTTTCCTTAGAGGGTGAGTTCCAATTTTAATAAAATATGCATTCACGAAGAAATTAATATCATAGTAAAATACACTACATGCCATTCTGACTATGAGTGTTTTTTTAAGGCCGTTTGACAAAGAGGGACAGCGTTTGAAAAAATACACTGCCAATATAAAGCCCCCTTTGGCCTTAATCCAGGTCACTCAGAGCCTCTGTGTTCAGTCACCCAGGTTGTGAACTTCACCTCCTAGAGGCAGTTATAACCAGTACAATTTTAGGAAGCAGTCATAGGCTTAATTTCGGAGTTCCAGAATTCTACAAACTGTGCCTCCACTCAAATTTATTATTACATTTGAGTTGCTCTCTTGCTTTGAAAGGTTAGATATATTTAAAATGGTTGGACAGAGGAATGAAGCAGGAAACTAGGGAGTCATTTTGGCATATGTAAGGTACTGTGGCCCAGCTGTTAAAGATTTCTGCTTCAAGCACAGTGTGTTTAAATCACTACAGGCTCCTTCCTCTTGTGCTTTGGCAAAACGTTTACACACCTAACCACACCTAAAGTCAGAGAAAAATTTTCCAGCCAACCTAGCAATCAGTCAGTAGGGAATGATTTCAAGGAAGAAAAATATCCTTTTATTTGGTTAGGCATGTGAGAAACTAGATGGCAGAGCTCACTCTGCAAAGAGGGGACCTTTAGGAACACATCTAGGGGACCTTTGGTCCAAACCACAAGCATCTTTGTGGTTCTGTACTCCAGGCCCTCATCTCCCACCTGGAGATGCCCCTTCTCCCCTTGGAGTCACACGGACCTGGATCATTTTTCTTCTGTACTTAAACCTCTCAGTGGCTCCCTTAGGCCCACAGGGTAATGTCTAGACTCCTTAGAATGGTGTGAGAGCTGCCCTATTTCCCCCTCTCCCCCATAGCCTGACCTCTCAGCCCCAGGCCATTTCTAAACTCTTCTTTCTCCTGCTTCCCCTCCCATATAAGGCAGGATCTCTTGCAGTTCCCAGAACAGAGTGGGTGGTTTCCTGCTTCTAGGCTTTTGCTAATGCCCTTACTGGTTCCCTAATTCTGCCTGTGAGTATGAAGACATGCTAGAATATCATCAGTCCTGAGTCACGCCACCTGTAAGATGACTTCTCAGCACGTACTTGTGTGGGCCTCTTCCGGGGAATGGGAGTCAAGTCTTGGTGGTTTTGGTTGGAGTCCAGAGCACCCGGGGAGGTGCTTGGTGTCCCCTGAATAGCAGCACATGACTGTTGAAGGAACCAGTGAGTCAGTGACTCTCTAGGCATTTCTTCTTTGGTTTACAGGAGGAAAAGTTTAAGCATAGCACTTTACCTGTTTCCTACAAGGTGTTTTAGCCTTTTTTGAAATACAAGGAAAAAAGAAGTAAAGCCTCTAATTAAACCGAGATTCTGAATTGACACTTTATTTCCCAGTGATGTTATAAATACCCCTGCCAGAAGACACTGGGTTAATGAATCCTGGCTTTCTGTAGGTTAGAATGACATGTCAGACTAATGTTGGTATCTTAGGGATTATGAGACTTGTGCCTTGTAGGGCCCATTTAGCAACGGTGCTGGGCCTTCCCAAGTGCTTGATTCAGGAGCCCCCTAGTGAGTCAGAGCTTGTGGCTTCACAAGAGTCAGGTTGATGAATGAGACTTGGAGATAAGGAGTAAAAGGGACTGAGCAGACCTCCTTGTAAGATGGTGACTTCTCTCTGTACCTGGCAGGAATGAGGTTTGTGTTAGTTTCTAAGAGGGGAGCAACAGCTTTATCCTGAAAAACAAATTGCAAACAAATAGAAAGCCCCAAATACAGCAAGCTAAAATGTCTGGAATACTTGCCATGAGCCTAGTATTCTGCCAAGCATCTTCCCAAAGTGTTTATCCTGAAGTCTTCTACTTCATAGCATGGTATATACTCTGAGACCTAGTCCATGGTTTTCCTTGGTTATATGTATGTACATGTATACCTGTATGTATGAAAGTGTGTATGTATGTGTGTGCATGTAAGTATATATATTTATACACATCTACACATTTCTTTGTTCTGACTTCTGAAAGGGTCAAGAAGCAAAAATGCCTTTGTAGTAATAAGCACACCTAAGCACCTGGATCTTATCCTCTAATGTCACTGCCCACAAAAATGAACCACATTCCTCAGGGAAATGCTAATTCCAGGGCTGAGGGAAGATGATCTTGAGACTTTTATGAGGCCAGAAAGGAAGGAACTGCTAAAAAAAGGACGTCTTAAGGGACATAGGAAACAGATTGAAGAGGCTTCTGCTGGCCAAATCTGGGATAATCTGAGCACCAAAATAATTGATTATAGTATGAATTATAAACAGTTGTGAAGCAGGAGTTAGAAATCCCATACTGATGACAGATGGATGGGTGGATGTGGGGAGAGTAGGAGGTTTTTGCTTAATAACTGCCAGGTGCCAACCAGTAACTGTGGGGGAAGCCCTGGAGCAGGAAAAGTCGGCATATCATCCCCATCACAGTAAAACTGGATCAAGCAAGATTTATCAGTGGATGCTAAGAGTAAGTGGAAGTGTGGAGGAGCAGGATATTTGTGTGCTGTTAAAGGCTCTCCCACAGATTGCTTATTAGCTAGAAGGAAAAAGTAGTGATTATAAAGTGGAAAAATTGGACTGCTCTTTGACCAGGATCAAAGTTAATATCACCATTGAAAGGCAGATAAACATGTGCCTCCAGATGTGGTTTCTTGAGATGATGACAGCGTTGTCTGTGTGGTATTCTGGCCAGGAATGTATACCAGACTCTAATCATGAGGAAACATCAGCCAGATGCTCCGTCGAAAAAACAGGGGCAGGGAGAGCTGGATCCTTCAAAAGTATCATGATCATAAAAGACAAAGAAAAGCTGTGGAAATGTTCCAGGTTACAGGGGGTCAAAAGAACTTGGCAGCTAAATGCAGTACCTGACTTGAGACTGGATCCTGTACATAAACAATGGGGGCACATAAAGATCATTATTCGCTCAGTTGACAAAATTGGAATATGCGTCATCAATTAAAGGGTGGCTTCCATGTTAAATTTATTAAAGTTAGTAACTGTGCTGTGGTTATGTAAAGGAAAATCCCTGTATAAAATACACACTGATGTATTTAGGTATAAAAGCCCATGATATATGGTTTGGGCATAAATGCATACACACATACAAAGAGTATGTTTATGTTTTTGTTTTCATATTCTTAAAACTTTTAAGTTTGAAATTATCCCCCAATAAAAGGTCTAAAAATTAAAAGTATATATCATGATCATACTAATGATTATCTTCTAAATAAATATTTCTTCTATTTTCTGTCCTCTCTCCTCTTTCTCTTCTCCATCCTTAGAAATCCAAGGCTGGTGAGAAGGGCATCTCTGTGGGGCAGACGGTCATCACGAAGCATCGGAACACCCGGTACTACAGCTGCAGGGTTATCGCCGTGACGGCGCAGACCTTTTATGAGGTTGTGTTTGATGATGGCTCCTTCAGCAGGGACACCTTCCCTGAGGATATTGTGGTGAGTAAGGCTCTGGGTGCCTGCTCCCCAGCTTGTCTTTTGCGTAACTAAACTAGCTGAACCTCTCAGGAATCTTCATCTTGGTTCTTGGTATAGCTCATTTCATTTAATATTCAATTCAGATGTTCTCTTTCCCCACCACAATCCTTAGAAGTGTTGTCTTCTAGGAGTGTCTTTAGCCATCATTATTCTAAATAGTAGGTGAATTTAGATTCATCTTCCCAGATTCTTTTAACTGAATGAGAAGTGTATGTGGCCAGAAACAAAATGTGAATTTACCTGTTCTTATCTGTTATGGAGTTTGTATATTTGAATTCCTTTATTACTTGTTTTCTTTATGCTTGGCTGGAGAATATGGCTTTTATTAATCTTACCTGACAGTGACATCTGTAATCTGACAGAAACATCTGTGTGTGTTTCATAAGGGAATAACAAAAATCACACAAGCAAAGGCTCTTTCACTGAGTTTCTTAACTGTGGTCTGAAAGGGGACCCACGCGTGCCTGTCTGTCTGTCTGCTTCCTCTGCCCCCTCAGTAAACACCTTGGGTCTTGTTCAGAGGAACTCCGAATGTGTCTCAGGACTTGCTTTTGAGCAGATGTTTCATAAGAAAAGCACTTTCAGCAGAAGGTTTTTTGAAACAGATCAAATCAGTTAACTAAGATCAGGGTTAGTCTTCCAGCCATCTTGTCATCCCTTGTTTATTTACGGCAAGTATCCATTTGAGGAGCCAGGCCTCAATAATGTAGGCTTTGTCCTCGGTCTGTGATCCTTTGCCTTTGTTTGTATTTGGAAAGATGTTACTCTTTAGGAGTAATAAGTATGTATTTTGCATAACTGATAATTAAATGTAACCTTTTGAGATTGCTCATAAACATTTCCAGAATTTTGGTCCCCTTGAGCAGAAGAAACATTGATTCAGTCAGCTCTTTGTTAAGCTTACTTCTCTATGCCTTTAAAAGGGACAAGTATGTAAACAAAAGTTACCTTATCTGAAAGATTTCAAAGCAAATGAATTTAAAGAAATTAAAAATCCCAGGACTTGATCCTACACCCTAAGGGTGAATTGTGGGTTTTTTCCTGCAGAATTCTCCCTGGAGCTTTGCTGCACTGATGTTGCTCTTCATAAGCAGCAGCCGCTAGGTCACATGCTTGCCTTGCTGGCCAAGGCCCTCCCTTCAAACACGCAGTCCCCAGAAACGGTATCTGCTGTGTACTAAGCATTGCACTGGGTGCTGGCAAAGATGAAAACGAAGGTGTGATTCCTTTTCAGTCTGGAGGGATGTGGGCTGGTAAATGGGTGTTTTCTAGACAGCACGATAAATGCTATGGACGAGCCCAAAGCAACTTCCCACCTGCGGGGATCAGGAGACTGAGTCTGAGACCCCACAGGGTCAGCAGGGCTGGCACTGATGGAGATGCATCACATGTTAGATCTGCTTCAGGAGCTTGTCATACGGGAATCATTTCATCCTCAGTCTTGTGTGCTAGTTACTACTGTTTTCCACATTTGGCTGCTGAAAAAACTGAGTCACAAAGCAGTAAATAACTTACAGTGATATGCAGCTAGTAAGTGTCAGAAAGAGTGTTCAGTCCTGGAGTTGGGCTCCAGAGCCTCTGTTCTTAACCCCTGGGAAGAAAAAGGACTTTCAAAGTGAGAGAGAGAGAGGGCAAGAGAGGTGCTGAAACACACAGGCCACTCAGCTCGGCGCTTGTCAGACCTGCCCGGTTACATGCTTATCTCGAAATCTACCTCGTTTTGTGCAGGCTGACAATATGGAGCTGGCCAAAGACAGAAAACTTTGCTGGGGAGCCTGCAGGGGATAGAACATAAGAGTTGTGAGCACTCACCCCCAAACCTGAGCAAATAGTTAGGTCTTTATCCATGATAGTATGTAGTGAATCCTAAATTTCCTTTCACATCACGATCCTCCACACATCCAGTCAGTCGTAAGTTTCTTGGAAAGTCTTCAGCTTGTGCATTGGAAAATCTTCAGCTTGTGCATTGGAAAAGAGTGGCTGTGATCCTGGGAGTTTTCTGAATCCACAAGTCTTTCCTTTGATACCTTTAGCTCTACTCTCTGTGAACCCAATCAAGTTTGGTTTGAAGTATTTGTGGGTGTTGTGAGAACAAAAATTTGTGAGGTAGTTCAGAAACACCTTGGCATTTAAATCAACAAGAATGAAAAAGCAGAAATTCTTTACAACTTGATTAGCTATTACTTATAATACATGATAAGGACTTGAGGTTTAGCAGTTGTGTGTGTGTGTGTGTGTGTGCCCAGCTCTAGCCTTGGAGGGAGTGGCAGTGCTCACAGTGGTATGAGTTAGCGTAGATTGGAACAGGGGCTGCTGTATGAATTTGCATGAATGATAATTTTTTCAGGGAAAAAGCAACTCATCTTTGAGCAGGTCTTCTCTTTGATCCAGCCTTTCCTCCCTCGATAACTCCCTACCGCCCTTTCCCATCTGGTACACTTTTGGTTACCTGTTCCATGCCTCTTAGGCCAACCAAGTAGGAACATTTTAGTGATGCTGTATTTTCAAGTGATACACACTTTCTCATAACGTCACTGCTTGTTGGCTGCTGTGGCCTCTTCCGCTTTGTCCTCTTAGTGCTCAAAGAGACATCCCCAGATGTCTTTATTTGGTTGCTCCATAGGGAAGGTTTTATTTTTCCTTATAATATGGTACTAGAGTTCTCTGGAGAAATAGGCCCTTAAATAAGAGACTTCTTATTTAATATATTTAATTAAATATATTTTAATATATTTGTGCGTTTAATATATTATAAGTAAGTATATGTAATATATATGATTTCTTATAAGGGTATTGGCTCATTTGATTATGGAAGCCAAGCAGTCCCAGGATCTGTAGTCAGCAGACTGGAGACAGGAGAGGCTCAAGACCCAGGAAGAGTATCAAGTCCAAAGTCAGGTAAAAGCTGAGTCCCAGCTCAGAGCCAGTCAGGCAGGAGGGGGGGTCAGCCTTTTTGTTCTCTGACTGGATGGGTCCTAGGGAGGATCGTCTGCTTTGTCTGTCAATGCAAATACTAAAGTCATCCAATAACATCCTGAGAGACTCACCTAGAATAATGTTTGACCAAATACCAAACACGTGGACACCCATGGCCCTGCCAAGTTGATGCATAAAATTGAACATCACAAATACGTTGACCTGGGGTGTTTCAGGAGACTGGTCACCTTGTGTTGCCAGAAGCTCTGAGTCGGAGGCAGAATGTAACTTCCCTTTCTGTGAGGCAGCCACACTGTTTGGCTGGTTTGCAGCACTCTGAAGATCAGCTCCACTAGCTATGTGCTCTGTCCTGGTCATCATCCAGGTTCACAAAAGACAATGTCTTGGATTTTCTGAAGCAAGCTTTTTAAATTTAAAGGATTTCCAGGGATTGTTTGGGGTCTGTGTTTCCCACTTACATTAATGAAAGCTGCCTGATTAAATGCCCTCGTAGTATGTCAACTAGACTTCAGTTTGGTATGGGAAGTTTGATGTTATATTTCAAAACATATGTGTATAATGAAGTATGTTGTAAATATATTCACATATTAATTATTATTTATTCCCATATATGATATTAGGTAAATACATTTATATCACCATTTTTCGGCCCATGTGGATTAATTCTTATGCTCATTCCACTTCCATTTTTGCTGCCCATCGACATCAGAGCTGTCTTCTGGGAGGTGGGAATCCCACTTGTACCCTAAATGTGGAGATAATCAGGAGATAAGGAAAATGTGACCAGCTTTATTTCTTTTTCAGCATCTTGCAGATATGGCAGAGTAGTTATTTGGGTGGAAATATAGTCCATATTCCTCAGAGAAACCTTGTTTTTGTTAGATGATATACCTGTGCCGCCTGAAACTGGGGGTAGAAAATGATTTTTTCTTCTGTTTGTCTGAAAGCTCTCTAATCTGCCCAATGTGCCTATCGAGTGTGAGTGCCCCTGGGAAGGCCCTTTCATCAGATGCAACTCAATGTCAGTGTGACTGGCTAGTGAAGAACTAGACTCTCTAAGCTGTGGGTACTTGCCAGCTAGAACTGCCATAAAGGTACAACACAATTTGTTTCTTAACTATAAAAATAAAATCTAGAACATCAAGTTTAATTATCCCGAAGTGTTTATTTACATATAACATAAATATAGTCCTTTATGAAGCCTGATGCTTTAGTAAAGAAATACATTCCCTTATTTTTTGAATTACTTTGTCATCCCTCCAGAAGAGAAACATTTAATGCAGGCTGGTCTATTCATGTTTGAAAATAAATTTACTGTGCATTAAAATACCTTTGTTAGGGTTATGTGACTAGAGGGAGTGTTTGAAACTGTAGGGAGAAACATTCTTTGGACTACCTGAGAATTTCTTTCCAGACCTAGGTGCTTTATTTCTGTGATGGCCAGAAAAATGTCCCAAATATTTTCTCTCAACAGTACACCTGCAGAATGTGTGTATCAGTCCTGTTAAACTCAGCATGCAATCTGTAGCTGTCAGGGGAAGTAATAAAAGATGTATTGCTACATGCCTCCATCTGTCAGTCTATGAAATTGCGACACACTTCCTGATGAATTTTTTTGGTCTCCTACTATTTTGATGGGAACAAAAGTTGCCCACTGAAGAGAATTTGATGAGCAAGGCGATTCCAGGACCCCCTGTTCACCTTTGCTAAAACTTGGGATCCTCTGGCATGCCCACGATGACACTAAAATGATGGCTGCTTCCTTTCGTCTGCACTTGAAACTCATTTTAGGGGACAATGGTGCAGTGTGATCTGGATGGTTTTAGGACCAGCACTTAACATTCACCACTGGACTTGAGAAGAGAAACAGGACCATTTAGAAATTTGACAGCAAGAGTCCATCACTGAAATTTCTGTGAGGGCTTGCTACATTTTTCAGCATCCGTTGAAATGTGAAAAAAGCACGAGAACTATACTCTTCAAGATACAAGGGATGGATTGTCATGGCCTTTAGTTTCTGTGGG